GGGAGAAAACATTTATACGTAATAATAGTAATACAGGAGCAAGAAGGCTGATGCTCAGCAAAGAGTTTCTGTGATTCTTCCACGAGAGTACAATCATACGAAGAGGCTTCCAGCTTTGAGAGGCAGAAGGGCCAGGGACTTCCTGAGATCAGGCTATTTGTGATGAGATTCTGTTCTGGGCCCTTTGGAGGTTGGGGGGTTCAGAAGGACATTGCCCTGCGCGCAGCCAGCCATTCCCATGCTCCCCGGGCAGGGTGCTTGTGAGTTCGCCAGTCCTCTCAAACACAGAGCCGATCCTGTGTCTTCCTCCTTGCTCTCCTTCTGTCTTTCACGAGGGACATAAAGTGAGAATTGGACACTCAGACCACCTTTCCATATAACAAAGGATGACGAGGCAGACAGCAGGGATGCTAGGATTGCTCTGCTATTTTGGACATAACAGAACAAAATATAAAAGCCACAGCATAACATCTTCGGTGATGTCTTTCTTATATTCTAAAATGCTGGCACATGAAATATATAAATCAAGATTTGGGTTAAAGGAGCAGAGAACATTAGACCCTCAAGGAAAAGGAGATAGTCGGCAGCTCCATTCAGGTGACGCGTGCTGAAAATGTATTTGATTTGAACCTCAGTGATCTAGCCTCTGCTGTTCTACAATCTAGGACATGAATGCATTAGCACTTGGACTTGGGCTTGAATTGCAAATTTGATTTTTGTTGTTCATATTAAAAAAGCTACACCAGATGCTTGGAAAACATTAGGGTTTTGCTGGCTAGGGAACAGAAATATTATCATTCTACCTATTTGTATTTTGAAGATCCAGGACGCATTCTTTCTCGGTTGCAATTGTAACTATTGGTATCACTGAATTTTAAAAATAGTTAAGCTAAGGCTTCGAGGATGCTTACTGGGTGCCAGGTGTGAAGCTAAGTGCTTTCTATATTATTTCATTTAAATTCATCTTCACAGTACTTCCACGAGGTAGGTATTATTAACCCACTTTGCAGATAAGGAAACCAAGGCTTAGGAGAGGTTAAATACGTTTTCCAGGGTTCATTCATTCAACAGATATTTATTATGTGTCTACTCTGAGCTCCTAGAAGCCAAGCAGTGAACAAAATGGTAAAATCCCTGCCTTCGTTACATGCTAAGAGAAGGTATCACCGCCAAGCTTTATTAAGGGCCAGATAACACTGATACGGATCAGCTCTTAGGTAGAGGACGCTTGGTTTGACCTAGGCATTCTGACTCCAAATCAAGTGCTCCTGTTTCTCTAACTCTGCACTACCTTGCCTCACCCAGCAGGGCCCATTCAGGGGGGAAGAGATGAAACTTGGGGATCCCAGCTGGACCTGGCCAGCTGCGTGGTCTCAGCCACCACCATTTCACAGAGGAACACGTGGAGCATCTTCCTTCATTTCTCTATCCTACCTCACCCATTACATGACCTAGAGCATAATCATGGACTTGTGCTTTCTAAAATGAAGTCAGGTGCATTTTTAGGACAAGTGCTTATTTCTCGAAGGTTAACATGGCTGCGGGAGGTGCCAAGGGCCCCGGGCCTTTTTTCCTTCAGGCCCTGAAGCTGGGACACCAGTCCTCGCTACTCTGTTTGAAGCTATGTTCAAGTATCTGCCATACCTGAGATCAGAACCATGGCTTCCTGGTTTGTCCAATAAATAACATCATTTTCCAGTAGTTTCTACCTAATATGATGGACTGAACCAGTATTTTTTTAAGTCAAATTCTAGTGTGCTCCAGTTAGAGCCTTGTCTTCAGCAGTTTAGGAGCCTTTACCAAGTGACTGCAGACAGAGTTTGATGGTGTGATTGAAATATATAAGATTTAGTTCACCATTGCTTTTTATGGCTGAACAGTACTCCATGGCATACATAGATCATATTTTAATTAAGCCACTTATGGATTGATGGGCACTTGGCTTGTTTCCACACGTTTGCAATTGTAAATTGTGCTGCTTTAAACATTCAAGTGCAGACGTCTTTTTTATAAAATGTCTTTTTTCCCTTTGGAAATACCTAGTAGTGGCATTGTTGGATCAAATGGTAGTTCTACTTTTAATTCTTTGAGGTATCTCCATACCACTTTCCATAGAGGTAGTAGTAGTTTGCAGTCCCACCAGCAGTGTATGAGTATTCCTATCTCTACACACCCATGCCAGCATTTGTCGTTTTGGAACTTTTTGATAACACCTCTTATATTAACCTGGATGGAACTAGAAACCATTCTTCTAAGTGAAGTATCACAAGAATGGAAAACACAACACCACATGTACTCACCACTAAATTGGAACTAATCAATCAACACTTACATGCACATACAGAAATAACATTCACCAGAAATCAAACAGGTATGGGGAAGAGCGATGGGTAAATTCACACCTAACGGGTAGAATGCACACTATCTGGGGAATGGGCACACTTATAATTTTAACTCAATCAGTACAAAAGCAATTTCTGTAACTAAAATGTCTATACCCCCAGAATATTCTGAAATTTTTTAAAAATGTAAAGAATGTAAACAAAAAGTGAATGGAAAATCTTCAAATATTCCTTTTTACATAGTTTGGGATTTTGAATCATATTACTATTTTATGTATTTGAAAAAGTTAACATCAACAATAAAGGGAAAAATAAAATAGAAATAAAAAGAATGTATAAGATTTAGAAATGAGGGTTAGAGTAGCTTTGGACTCTTTACTTTTCAAATGGAATTCTCTACTTACAAGAAAACACCTAGCAAGAAAATCATGCTTCTTGAAATTCACCACATCATCTCCAGATGGGTTTTACTATACACTGGGCTCCTCTAGTGCCTGGGCAGTTTCACATGTGAGTACAAAAGTGGCAGGGTCTAAGAGAATCCTATTCCTCTCCCATTGGGCCTGTCATACCCAGCACCCTTGCTAAGTGCAGGAGAGTACCTGGGTGGAAGGACTGCTCTGCCTTCTCCTACCCACCCTGTGTCTTTCTGCCTTCTACCTTCAGCTGTGTAAAGCTACTGAACCCCTTCTAGCCCAGCCTGGCCCCCCTTCTGTCACTAAGCAAGCATTTCCCTGGTACTAATCTATGCCAAGCTCTTGACCAGGGCCACATGCACTGGTCCTTTCTGGCAGAAAGGAAGACAGCAGACAGGTGAATTAGACTTCTAATTAGTAAGTCCATAGAGTCTCCAAGGCTTTTTTTTTTTTAACTGGACTTCTTAAGTGAGTCCAGTTAGGCAGATATAACACTCTCTAGGGTAAGAGATCCATCACTCCCATTACCAGGAATGTAGAGTCTCAAATCAGGCATTCCTTATGGTCAATGGGCTGCCTCCTGCTCTCATTCAAACTCATCTCTTTTAGCCCCTTTGAATTAGACAATAGAATGGTTCATTCAATTTGCAATTATCTATTAACCACTGCTATGAACCTGATCACTAGGTGCAGCCCTACAGTAAGCTATGGTAAGCAAGTCAGCCACAGTCCCTACCTTCTTGGAACTCGATAAACAGACACTTAAGCAATTGTCTGAAAGCGTGATAGAAGCTACGATGGAGAAGCATAGATTGCTTGGAAAAACTTATTCCAGGATATTTAATCAAGTACAGGTGGATCAAAGAAGACCCCTAATATAGTTCGAGTGGGAAAAGGGTATAGGAGAAGACTTCCTGGAGTAAGTGAAATCTAAGATCTGAACTGAAAAATAAACAGCTTTTAACCAGGAAAGAGGGGGCGGGAGGAGTGTGTTCCAAGAAAAGAAAACAATTTGTACAATACTCTAGAGGCAGAAGGAAGTCTGACACCTTGAAGGGACAGAGAGTTGATAGAAAGTGCACAGTAGGGGAGGGGTGGGGAAGGGATGCTGAGTAGAAAGGCAGAAAGATGAGCCTGGGAAGATGAGTAGGAGCCTGGGGATATTGGCAGGAGTCAGTCTGAATTTTAATTTACAGACAATGGAAATCATTGCAGCATTATAAACAAGAAGGGCAGTATTTTTTGGAAAAGGTGGCAGTATAGAGAATAGATTAAGGGAGGACAAAACAATGAATAAAAGAACAGACAAAAAGCAAATGGATGAATGAATGGAGGCAAGGCAAAGAGAGAAGTTGGGAGACTGTCGCAACCATCTAGTGAGAGATAAGAGTATCCTGGCCAAGGACAGTAGCAGTGAGGGTAGAGATGAGTGGGCATGTTAGAGTTGCCATCAGCCTGGACAGTTGAAGCTGTAATAGATGAAGGTACCTAGGCAAGAAGGCAGAGTGAGCAGCAGAGAAAAAGAACTTAAGACAAAACATTGAACAATCCCATAATTGAAGAGAAATAAAGACTACATAAGAGATTGAGAAAGAGCTAATAGAGAAAGGAGGAAGTCCAGAGGAGAGTGACGTGGTGGAAATCTGTGGAAACATGCTTTTAAGAGAGAGTAAGCTACTATATCTAAAGGTGCTAAAAGAGGAGAGAAAATAAGAACCGAAAGGATGTTTTGGGTTCCGTTAAACATTATTCTTCAGTTCCATACTATACAGTAAATATGTTAAATTCTGTATTCTTAAAGGTTTTATTCAGTGTTCTCTAAAATATTATTGATTTAATTTCTTGATGTTCTCAATTAAGTTGTGACAAGAATTTAAGATACGTATTAACATCTTTCTCAAGTATGGTACGTTTGGCTCCAAGTCTCATGTCTAGCATTCATTTTGAAAATAATAACAAATGATTCTTCCCTGTGAGAGGAATATTGCTTTTAACTATCTCTTTTGTTTCCCATTCTCCAATCTTTAGTTTGTTTTCTGTGTCTTAAGCCCCATGAGTTCTGCTTTTAGATGAAAACCTTTGAATTGCAGTGTTGCCTGATTTTGAAATGAGACGTCTAATTTCTTTCCTATGTTTTCTAAACCATTTAAAAGTTAATTCATAGCAATATACTCATCACGGTGCTTAAAGAGTAAAATATGATTTGAAGATTTAGTCATCCTCTTTCCTGTTTCTTTTCCAGCTCCAAGAGACTGTGAAAAGGAAGTTGGAAGGAGCCCGATCACCTCTTAATGGAGACCAGCAGAATGGTGCTTGCGATGGGAATTTTTCTCCCACTAGCAAGCGGATTCGAAAGGACATTCCCACGGGGATGGAAGCCATCAACAATTTGCCCAACAGCCTGCCACTGCCTTCAGCTTCTCCTCTTCACCAACTTGACCTGAAGCCTTCTTTGCCCTTGCAGAACAGTGGAACTCACACTCCTGGGCTTCTGGAAGATCTAAGTAAGAATGGGAGGCTCCCTGAGATTAAACTTCCTGTCAACGGCTGCAGTGACTTGGAGGACAGCTTCACCATCTTGCAGAGCAAGGACCTCAAACAAGAACCTTTAGATGACCCTACTTGCATGGACACATCAGAAACATCTCTCTCAAATCAGAACAAGCTGTTCTCGGACATCAATCTGAACGATCAGGAGTGGCAAGAATTAATAGATGAATTGGCCAACACGGTTCCTGAAGATGACATACAGGACCTGTTCAATGAAGACTTTGAAGAGAAGAAGGACCCGGAATTCCCGCAGCCGGCAACTGAGACCCCTCTCTCCCAGGAGAGCGCGAGCGTGAAGAGTGACCCCTCTCACTCCCCTTTTGCGCATGTCTCCATGGGCTCTCCCCAGGCGCGGCCTTCTTCTTCTGGTCCTCCCTTTTCTACCGTCTCCACGGCCACCAGTTTACCTTCTATCGCCAGCACTCCCGCAGCTCCGAACCCCGCCAGCTCACCAGCAAACTGTGCTGTCCAGTCCCCCCAGACCCCAAGCCAAGCCCACACTCCGGGCCAAGCTCCAGCTCGGCCTGGCAATGGTTATCTCCTTAATCCGGCGGCAGTGCCCGTGGCCGGCTCAGGGTCAGGCCCTGTGGCTGTGCCCAGCTCTGACATGTCACCGGCGGAACAGCTCAAACAGATGGCCGCGCAGCAACAACAGAGGGCCAAACTCATGCAACAGAAGCAGCAGCAGCAACAACAACAGCAGCAGCAGCAGCAGCAGCAACAACAGCAGCAGCAGCAGCACTCAAACCAGACTTCAAGCTGGTCTCCATTAGGGCCCCCGTCTAGTCCATATGGAGCAGCTTTTCCTGCAGAAAAACCAAATAGCCCAATGATGTACCCCCAAGCCTTTAACAACCAAAACCCTATAGTGCCTCCCATGGCAAACAACCTGCAGAAGACGACAATGAATAACTACCTCCCTCAGAATCACATGAATATGATCAATCAGCAGCCAAATAACTTGGGTACAAACTCCTTAAACAAACAGCACAATATTCTGACTTACGGCAACACTAAACCCCTGACCCACTTCAATGCAGACTTGAGTCAGAGAATGACACCCCCCATGGCCAACCCCAGCAAAAACCCCCTGATGCCATACATCCAGCAGCCGCAGCCGCAGCCGCAGCAGCAGCCGCCGCCACAGCTCCAGGCTCCCAGGGCACACCTGAGCGAGGACCAGAAGCGCATGCTTCTCATGAAGCAGAAAGGAGTGATGAATCAGCCCATGGCCTACGCCGCGCTTCCGTCCCACGGCCAGGTAAGTGTGAACGCGCGACACGCTTGCAGCGGTTCTCGGGGTGCATTTCAGGCTGTCAACGTATGATGCTCACCAAGCGTCAGCTGTCGTGGGGTCTGAGGACCTGCAGGACCTCTCATGGAGTGGTCTGGATTGGGGACATTGTCCCCCTTTCTTCTAAGGGATGGAAAAGGGTGGTGTGATAAATTTTCTTACATTTGAAGGCCTAGGAATCAAACTTCTCTGTTCCTGACTGCAGATAAGAAACCAAAACTTACATAAAATTTGCACCCTGAGGGAGGCAGGCCAAACATGGTACTACTGCTGTAGCTTCTCTCCTAAGTCGTGTAGTCCTGGGCTTGGGGTGGTAGGAAGATGAGGACATTTAGGGCTGTCTATAATGGTTTTATAAGGCCCTGTGCAATCTTCACCCATTTTACTGAATTATGAATAATGGGAAATTTGGATTTTTGGTGTTCAAATATGGGGGAGTTTTCTGTGTTTTCAAAGTGAAGTGGAGGATAGATTTTTGTAGGAGCCTTCGATGTTTAAACACTTGCTGCTGGTCAGCAACAGTTAAGAGCTGGTTTAATCTTGTTACTTGGGAGTACAGAGAGACCTCTTTGATTCATTCAGCTCTATTTGCAGAAAGTTTGCTGGTGAATGTCTTAGTGGGTGCTGTATTCAAGTCTCCTCCTTCCCAGTGTCTTCCTTCATGATGTCCTGGCTCAGGGGGCAGGGCTATCAGTGTGCAGGGTACAAAATGAGTAGCAGTCATTTGGGAGTGAATACTCACCGACAAGCATCTTGCTGTCCTCATCCTGACCAGTGGCAGGCAGCCAACGCTCCTTTCATTTAACACTTTATTGACCCTGAAGGGAGGGAGGGGAGAGTGGGGAAATGCACCTGAGAGTGACCTTCCCCCAACCTGGGTGAATTCACGAGGGCTACTCTTACTGCCAGTTGCAGGGCAGTGCCTGAGCCCTTGCAGGATGCAGGTGCGAGCATTGTAGCTGGAGATTTTGCGGAAAAGTCTTTGCTTGAGAGGCCCTCATGCCTAAACAGGTTCTAAGTAGCGCTTGGCTGTGTGTGCGAAATGGGATGCACGAGGAGCGAGGAGCACTGGGAAGTAATGCAAGCAGGTCTTGCCTCACTGTGCTGTTTGCATCTTGTATGTCCTAGAGCGCCCCACCCCACCCCCACCCCCCAAGCTTCATGAAAGCTGCAGGGCTGGGGGTGGTGCTGGCCTGCAGAGACAGGCCTGAGCTCTGTGGTTTCGTTCTTCTCCTTCTCAGCCTTCCAACCCCAAAACCTCACAGTGGCTTCTTGTCTGCACATGCCGGCCAGCTCTAAAGAAACCCTGTCTGGATAAATAAAAGTATAGCTTGGTTTACATCAGCTGCAATCAGTAGCTGGTAGGAAAACATCACTGAAATGGGAACTTCTATGTTTTATCTTGATTTCATTAAAAAAAAAAAATATATATATACACACACACACACACACAGAGATACACGAACCATTGGAAAAATGCAACATTTTATACACTTCAAGATTAAGTTCTGAAGCCGGCAAAAATATAGGCAATATGCAGGGATGTTTGTGGTAGCCCAGACGCATCAGGAGGTTTATGAGATCCCGAGCTGTCAGAATGGTCTGTTGTTAATCTTAATACAAATTGTGCTTCCCCATTGACTGTGTTTACGCCGGCTACAGTAGCGTATTTCCCCTGAACCAGCCAAAGATGATTAATTCCAACTCACAGGCTCTGCAGACACGTGGGTGCAGGGATGCACCCACCCTCACCTCCCCCCTCGCTAAGCGTCTTTCGAAATGTGCGAACTTGGGACGAAGTTCCTGTCTTTGTGGGAACATGAATGGTGAAGGTACTTATTTCAAGCCCTTCTGCTCCCCTAACTACGTGCACCGACTCCGCTGGCTGCAGAGGTCGCGTTTTCAAAGAGCTCAGTCAGGTGGAGAAGCCACACTGATGGTTTTCTGGATTAAATCTACGTGCCCCTCCTCTCTTCCTCCATCTCACAAGGTACTTTCAGGGTGGATGGAATCTTCCTTTGCGAGGCCTCATTAGAATAATCACTTCTTAACCTTGTAAAGCACCATCAGGTAAAAGCAGGCTTTTTAATGAAATATTAACTCACCACTGTTTGATACAGGCTTCAGAATACATATATAAACATGTGAATATCTTTCTGCAAACATACCATTTATTTCATGTTTTTATCTGATTGTGGAGCAGTATTTACATAGCTCTCAGAATGTTTACGCTATATGTCAGTACATTGCACAAATACTAGTGTGCATTACAGGTGATATATAAAATATCTATATAGATATAAAATATCTATAAAATATATACGTGTAGTTAGTTCATTTTTGTTTCCTGCTGTTGCAAGTGAAAATTCACTTTATTCACAAGGACCACGAAGAACACTTCGTTTTAATGAAAAACTTGAGCAACAAAGCCTATTAGACACATTTATTTTGAGAAAATTATCTTATACAGATGTTTGTTTATTTGGGACACTTGTAGAAAATGCCATTTCTCTCAGCAATAAATAAAAATGCACTCACTTCCTGGATATTTCAAAAATGAAGAAACCAAAAATGGAAACCAAAAAAAATTTCAAAATTTTGAATGTATAATTTTACTTCTTAGAATTTACATATTATGCCTTATAGTCAGAGGATTAAACAAAGATTATGTTCATGATATCACTTATGATAATAAAAAATGTCATAATATGAGTAAAATAAGCAGATCATAAAAGAATTTATATGTTACAATCCAAATTGTGTTTTCTAATATGTATAGAAAAATACAGAATAACTAAACTGTTAGATCTGGTATTTATTTCTGGTTGAAAAACAGTGAGTGATACTTGTTTTCCTCTTTATATTTTACTGAATTTTCTAAATTCTCTGTCATACAGGTATGTTAATTCTACCATCAGGAAAAATAAATACCATTTTTAAGGAAGGGGAGACTCCTATTTAAAAAAATATTTACACGTTGCTAATTCTTTTAAGAAAACATTCTTTGTCAGATTGATTTGCCACTTGGATCAAGACAATACCATTATTTTCTATTCATTTACATATACTAGTTGTAAGTCCCTGTTCTAGTAGATAGTCTTAAAATGTTTCTTCCATACTCAGTCTCTTTTCCTTTCTCTTCTACATCCCCTTTTCACTTCTTACAGTGCTCTCTGTCTTAATTCCTATAAAATTTAGCTAAAATAGTGACAATGAATTATCAGTAACATTTTCACCATTATAAGTTTTCAGATCTTCTCTGCCATATGTTCTTATGTTATTTCTTTGATCATTTCTCCCTCCCTTCTCTCTCCCTCTGCCTCCCTTTTTAACTTCCTTGAACTTCTATTTATCATGGATTGGACCTACTGGATTGCTCTCTAATTTTTTAGTTTTTTAATGTTTCTGTGATGAAATAACCAGAACTTACTTTGGTCATGTCTGTCTATTTTTTTTTCCTGATCTTGTTTCTCAAGGACAGGATCTCTTCTCTCTCTCTCTCTCTCTGTCATTTTAACTAATTTTTGCCTAGTGCCTAACACTGTGTCTTCAACATAAGGAACATAAGGCTGTTTAATAAATCATGTGATGGCAATTATCAGAGTTTAGGCCAAAAATATGTTTACAGTTGATCTTCAGCGCCAGCGGAGAAAGCATTAGCACAAATAACACAGAGCTGCTGTTGAGATCAAATGGAAGAACTGAAAAGGCAAGTCGAAAAAGAATCCTTTGATAGGAGGTGGTTATCTCGAACCAGTGGAACAACAATGAGATTGCCGGGAAGGCAAACTCCATCCCTGTGTCCGGCAAACAGGAAACAATGGAGCAACTCTGAATGGAGTAAAGCAAAAGCAAGTGACTGCTCCACTGGTCAAGAGAAGTCACAGGCCTCCCCAGATCCCAGGAATAATTCCTATATGGAAGAATGAAAGGCGAATAATTTCCAAACTGTGATGTTAACGTTTAGTACTTGCATTCCTAGGACTAGATAAATCATAGGCTACTCTTTACATGTGTTTTCTGTCTGTGGCCGTGTGCGTCCTAATGGACACATATATGCTCAGATTTTACAGAATATTTTCCCCTTTCAATTTTATTTTACTAGAATTTGCAGAATACCTTGTGAGGTGTATTATTATAAGCTTTTTAGCCGTAAAATCTCCATAGAAGAAACAGAGTTCCAGTATTCACAGCCAAAATGGAAATCTCTTTGAAGATACATTTTCCTGAACTTTAAAAACCTAGAGCCCCTTTGTTCAGTTTTTAAATATATATATATATTGTTTACTTTCTCCGAGTAATACATGCGGGTAGTTCAGAAAGTCAGACAGTACCACAATCGTGTGATAAGAAGCAGCAGTCCCCTGCTTCACCCACTCCATTCTTAATTTCTGCTTCCCAAAGGCAACCACTTCAATTCATTAAGTTGTTTTCTCATTTATCTCCATAAACTGCTGGTTCTCAATTTTTCAATTACTTGATTCTATAGAAGATGAGGATTTAGCTTGCGTACACTATCTCCTCAAGAACATACACAACTCCTTGCCCACACAGTCTTTTTCTCTTCCTCATTCTCTCAGTTATCACTAGCTATATCACAAGTTATGATTTTTTTTATTTATTTGTTTTTCTGAGACATCTCGCTTCTGTTGCCCAGGCTTGAGTGCACTGGAACGACCATAGCTCACTGCAGCCTCCAACTCCTGGACTCAAGGGTTCCTACTGCCTCAACCTCCCTAGTAGCTGGACTACAGGTGCCCGCCACCCAGCTAATTTTTAAAATTTTTTTGTAGAGACAGGGTCTCGCTTTGTTGCTCAGACTGGTCTCAAAAAAACTACTGACCTCAAGCAATCCTCCCACCTCAGCCTCCCAAAGTGCTGAGATGACAGATGTGAGCCACTGTGCCCCGCCACAAAATAATAATCACAAATTATGATTTTGAAAATACTCCATATTTACATGATTA